GTCCCAAGTTCAATCCCCGGTACCAAAAGAAATACAATCATAGACACTTAACAAACAACCCATTAAATGGTACAGCAAGCAGACAACATATTTTTAGGTATAGAGAATAGCTAAATAACATAATTCATCACTTGACCTAGTTGTTAGATGACCTAATACTGAACAATGGATATAGGATATAAAATATAATTGCAAATATGCTGCATTATAATGCACATATGAAAAAAGAAATTATAATTATATTTAAATCACACAAAAATATTCTCTATCAAGAACTTCAACAACAAAGCAAGACAAAGCAACAAAAAAAATCAGAAAATCCTCACACAATTGGAAATTAAGCAAGAAAGCTCTTCTGTTGAAACCTTCAGTTAATGATGTCTGTGCTCTACTTTTCATTACATGCCATAAAATTTATACATGTTGTATATTCATTTAATTCAGTTAAATACACACATTTAAAACATTTTCCTCTTTGACGAATGTGTTAGTTTGATGTATGTTATTTAATCACCACATATTCAGGGTTATTTACATATTTTTATTCTTTATTTGTAATTTATTTCAGGTATTATCTATGCACATACTTCATCTTCTGTTCACTCTTTTTTAAAGTTTTATATTCATTTCATGATTCATAACATGACCTATCTTTGATTTCATGTATTTTCTTTTATTGTTTTCCTTTTTTAAATTTTAGATTAAATGATTAATACTTATGTGTCCCTTTTGTTATTGCTAAGGAATTTACATTATTTTAAATAATTAGTGGTTGACTCGGGGTTTATGATATAGATATTAATTAGAATATACCTTGAAATAATGCTTACACCTCTTCTCATGTAGTATGATGACCTACATAAATATTAAAATTACACAATGTGCCTTTAGTAGTAAATGACTACTAAATATATATGTGCCTGAAAAATCTCCTTTTTCTATTTCTGAAAACTATTTCCCCATGGCATAGAATTCTGGGTCAATGTCATGCGCATTTTATTTTAAAATATCAGTAGTTTTAAAATGTTACTTGTTGCCTTCTAATTTTCATGTTTTCTGAGGGAAAGTCAAGTATTTCGAATAAAACATAGATCAATGTACCAACACCTGAATATTTAGTTGAATATTTAGTTGATGATGTTTGAATCCAAGCTTACTATGTGAAAAAACAAAACTAGATTGCAATCCCATACAGCATAATGAGTATACTACCAAAGAATCAAAGACTCAATTTTGAAAGTTAAATCTATAAAGTTAATAGAATTTAATAAAAGTTAACAGCAGTGAATTACTTATATATGTTATAGTATCTAATGGAAGATTTTTGACAGGAAAAGGACATTATTAATAAAGTGAATAGGCCAGTGTATTACTGTACAAAACAAGCACCACAGCCAACAAAGGTCTAATTTCTAGAATACATATACAAAGGACATTTGCTGATCCACAATAGAAATATAGGAAACCAAAATAAGGAAACCAGTGGGAAAAAGATGTGAACCTTCATTTCACAGAGAGCAGATTCAAAGTGTGGTCTTTATGAAAAAGATATATTAATGTGCAATTATTAATATAGTGGCAAATTTTAGAAGCTAGATAATGCCGTGTCACCTGAGAAAAGAATATGTGACAAATTTCATTGATTATTGGTAAGAGTTTAAATTATCCTAGCTAGTCTGAAGAGTAATATGATAATATTAGGTTAAATTCAATTTTAAAAATTCAGTCAAAAATTTCAATATATGTGTATGCTACAATCTAGATAATCATGTCTTAGTTACAATTCTCAAGCAATTCTTGCACAAATAAGGGAAAATAATTATTCATAGCAGTATTGTTTTTAGTATCAGTGACTTGGATCCAATTCAAGCTTTCAACAATGGAGGAATGGACAATAAAATGAGGCACATGAACACTGTGTAATAATGTGCAGCAAAAGTAGACAAGACACATGAACACATCTTTAAAACATGGTGCTGAAAGGAAAAAATGCACTGAATTCATCACACAATTTACATAAATTCAATTTTTGTGCACATAAAACAGAAGCATATCTGAATAAATTATGGATGTCCAATATATAACAATTATCTATAGTGAGAAGAATGTAAATAGAGAAGGGGTAAAAGAAAATAAATGAAAGAAACAAAAGGAAGAACGGATAGAAGGCATCTTGCATGAAGAATTCTGATAACAATGTTCCAAGAACTTGGGATAGTGATTAAGCCACCACTTTACTTAAAGGAAAAATAAAAAGTGAATTCATAAATATTTAAGTAGGTATGCAAATAAATCAGAGATAGAACAATACATCTGTTGGTGTATTGGTATATTGGTGGAGAGATAAATAGATAAAAGGTAGGAATAGAGAAAAAGAGAAATATTGAATAGATAGATTTATAGTAGCCAGAGAATCAGAATGATAGACATAAAGACAGGTAAATAAAAATGAGACAAAATCTTTCTTGAAAAATGAAATACCCAAGTTAAAAATAAAATAGGAAGACCTGAAAGAGATATTTCTTAATGGTACTTCTTACAATGTAGTATAAAATTTATTTTAAATATATATTTTTAAAAGCACTATTGGCTAATTAATCCTCCAAAGACCCAGGAATACAATTGTCCAATAATATGGAAAAATTTCTCCTGTATATTTTCCTGTATTATACACTATATTTAGCAAACTAACGTCAGTGCAGCTTGCTTCTGTTTTTGGTTATAAATTGCTAGCGTAAACTCTTCCTGACATAAATATTAGTATTTTTCCAAGAACAGTCTGGATTGTATAAACATCAAACCATAAATAATCCAATAATTTGAATCTATATATTATCTCTTATGATGTTTTCAAAAGTTCACTAAAATAAGAGGTTGTATTTTCACATTTTCAATACACTGTTTAAAATCAATTTATTGATGGTAGTAGATTACTTTCATACTTATAAGAAATTACTTTTTCTTATATTATTCTTTACCTTTATCATATTTTATAAGTATGTAATTATTAAACATTATCACCATGAATGCCTTATACATTTTCATATTGTCTATATATGATATTATCCATATCGATGGTGTGAAAAGTTCAATCTACAAATAGAATTGCTTTTCTTCCTAATATGAAGAAGCCCCAGGTTTGACCAAAAGGGTTCTTGGATTATCCTGGTGAGATTGTTTTAACAATGACTTTTCTGATTAATGCTATTTCTATTTTCTTTCTTTGTACTTTGTATCACTTCTGCACTGACAGAAAAAAAGTGATCCAACTTGAGCTGCATGCCTCTTCTGCTAAATAAGATTATTCAGTGGTGTAGTTAATCTTGAGTCATTGCAAGGCCTTAATAGAGCGAGGTAATATATTCTACCCTCACTAGCTCAGTTTCTTTTCTTTTATTTTTTTCCAAAGAGAAAAGGCTTATGTTTTGGGAGAGGCAGAAGGTCTTAGGCCATGACCGTGAAGGAGTAGGATCACAGTGGAGACCAGTGAGTCTATTTTCATGAATGTAAAATCCTATCTGTGCAGGTCACTGGCAGCATTGAAGGAGACAGGAGCACAGAGTTTGGGCAGGGACTTCACTGATCAATGTTACATGTGAAATCTTTGGTATTTGAATAATCTTTTCACTGTGGGGCAGCTCTTTCTTGGAACAGCCATCAGGGTTACAATTGTCATGTCACCTCCCTTCAAATCTCTTTCAAACTGTTAAAGACACAGCCAGCATCCTGTCTCCTATCATCCTCCACTACCCTTCCCATACCTTTATTCTTGATGAAAGCTACTTTAAGGCTTTCCTTGTCAAGGGACAGTGGTTTCAGGCAAAACACATTGGGCTGTATATGCATTTGATCAAAAACATTTGGAATGTGCACAAAAGCAGCCAAGTCAGAAAAATAAAAGGACAGCTGCATAAAGATGTTATAGTTATAAACGAGCTAGTTGCAAAAGCTTTGGTGAACTAAACAGCTAAATTAAACGAAGCACAATTAAGGCTATCCTGTCTTCTTTCTTATTCTTTTCTATATATGCATATTAAACTCACTAATTAGTGTCACATTGTTTTCCTAAATTCTAATTTCACTTCATTTTCCTGATGGTTCTGGTTTCATATTTGCCAACATAGGAAAAAAATTGTCTTTATTCTTATTTGACTTACCAAAATATTTTACCAGTTACTTTTCTATAGATGTTTCTACTAAAAATAAATATAGGCAAATACACATTACATATGATAACATACTACTTATGCTCAAAGAATTCATTGATTAAATAAAATTGTTTTGTATGCCTTAATGGCAGACTTTGCCATAATTTTAAATTTATATGGAAACCTATGATTTAAAGGCAACATTGGTCAACATTTTCAAAGATTAAATAACCAAACAAAATAATAGTAGCTAAGCTAATTTGTCCATGAGATACTCAAAGGTTATGTGAGGTTTTCTACTATTAGAGTTTGATCAGTGATAATCAGGAGACAGTAGCATTGAGCTCTGTAATCTTCCAATACCAAGGCAACTGTGAAACACAAAAGTCTGGATAAAATATCATCATTCAAGCAAACCAAGACAAATGCCAGTGCACCAGATAAAATGTGATATAATAAATACTCATCAAGAAGGAAAATTCCAGAACCTCCTACAATAGTGTAAAAAGGAAAATTTTAGGCATATTGAATTTAGCATTTTGACCAAAAAAATTAATCATAAATTCAGCAGCAGTCCACACAGAAACTGGTGCAGAATGTTCTGCCTCACAATATGTACAAACTATATTTATAACCGGAGGGGAAGAAATGACACACACAAAAGACCTGATGCATTGCACTCCTCATTTGACATATATGATTATGCTCTGGAACTTCTAACCTCTGATTGGCTAGATAGTCAGCTGCTGTGATTGGCTGAGACTTGGCTACTTGTCACAATAGTGTACTTTCAGATTATGATGTAATACCTGACACCCACAAATTAAGGCATTTAATTGGCTTATAGTTTTCAGTGGGTTCAGTTCAAAGTTGTTGATTCTAAGTCAGAAACAGCACAATGGAAGGCACAGTGAAGGAAAGCTGTTCATTCCGTGGCAGCTAGGAAGGAGAGGAGAAGAAAGGTGAGGTGGGGAGGGGAGGGAGAGGGGAATGGAAGGCAGTGGGGAGGAGAGAACGGAGCTTGGGCAAAAAATGCATCCTTCCATATTATATCTCCAGTGACCCAACCCAACCAAGGTTGGATCCTAACAACACATTCAGCCATGAACTCATCAATAGGTGAATTCACTGATAAGTATAGTACCCCATCATCTAATCAACTTCTAAACACATGAGACTTTGGGGGATATTTTAGATATAAACTATAACAGTTGCAGTTCACCATATACAGGAAACCTTCACACCAAACATAAAATATGGGAAGTAATCTTTGACTCCAATAATCAGCAGATGACATTTACACATACAATCAGTTTCACTATAGTTTTCATTATTGTTTTTGAATATGTATGAATAGACATTCTAATCAAATATATTGTTAAAAATATTAAGGTAGGAGACTCGACCAGAGGCCGAAGACGGGATCTGACAAGATGGCCGGGCTGCCCCACAGGATCATCAAGGAAACTCAGCGTTTGGGGGCAGAACCAGTTCCTGGCATTAAAGCGGAACCAGATGAGAGCAACTCCCGCTATTTTCATGTGGTCATTGCTGGGCCCCAGGATTCCCCCTTTCAGGGAGGGACTTTTAAACTTGAACTATTTCTTCCAGAAAAATACCCAATGGTAGCACCTAAAATACGTTTCATGACCAAAATTTATCATCCAAACGTGGACAAGTTGGGAAGAATATGTTTAGATATTTTGAAAGATAAATGGTCCCCAGCACTGCAGATCCGCACAGTTCTGCTCTCGATCCAGGCTTTATTAAGTGCTCCTAATCCAGATGACCCATTAGCAAACGATATAGCGGAGCAGTGGAAGACCAATGAAGCCCAAGCCATAGAAACAGCTAGAGCATGGACTAGGCTATATGCCATGAATAATATTTAAGTCGATCCAATCATCAAGTTTGTGTCACTTCTCCTGTTTTGCCAAGACTTCTTCCTTTTTTGTTTGCAGTTAATGGACACGGTCTTAGAAACATTGCAGAATAAAAGCCCAGACATTTTCAGTTCTTTGGTGATTAAATGCACCTTAGAAAATCTATGTCTTGTCCTGATTCACTGTTGTAAAGCATGAGCAGGGGCTAAAATTATCATCGGGATTGTCGTGAAATGTTTAAAAGCAGTGGCCCTCTACTTTTATTCATTTCCCGCATCATGGTTTAAGTATAAAGCACTGTGAATGAAGGTAGTTGTCAGGGTTAGCTGCAGGGGTATGGGTATTATTTATTTTATTTTTTTGAGGGGAAAAGCAGTTTCAAAATTTTATGGATTCCTTTTCCCCTCTTTTATGGTGATCTAATTGCATTGGTTAAAAAGCAGCTAACCAATTCTCTAGAATACGCTCTCTAGCCAAGTCTAACTTTATTTAGATTTTATAGATGGGCAAGCTGATTGTTTGAACCAAAATGGGAACATTAACAAACATCACAGCCCTCACTAATAACATTGTGACTTTGCTGTCAAGTGTAGATTTCCCCCTTCAAAAAAAGCTTGTGACCATTTTGTATGGCTTGTCTGGAAACTTCTGTCAATCTTATGTTTTAGTAAAATATTTTTTGTTATTCTAAAAAAAAAATATTAAGGTAAAGGTTTATATTTTGTGGCAACAAATATTAGCCTTGTTGACATTTGGTAAGCATTGATTTTCTTTCTTTGATTTAATTTTTATGGATACTTGTATTATGTTTTCAGAGTGTGCATAACATAAATTATTTCTATTTTCGGTATTAAAGTAAGAAAATAGCTGCACAAAATTGTTTCTAACAATATTAGAAATCTAATACTTTTTCTTTCTGTAGTTGATGAAAAATAGTCAATATTTTAGAGAGTTTAATAAGATCTATAATTAAAAATTCAAAAGATTTCAGTTATGTATACAGTTCAAGGAATTGAGAATTTGGATTAATGAGTTTTAACTTATTTTAAATTATTTTTATTGAAATATTTAAAGTCATAATTGACTTTTCTTATATTTGAGCAAGTCCAGTCTAGTAATTACAGGAGATTTTCCTAATTGTAGCTTCCCCCATTTGGAATCATGTAATCT